ATATTCAAAATATTCCTGGTCTTACAAGGAATCCAGCAATGTCAATTATATTTTCCTAACTTTAGTTTGAGGTTATCCCACACATCTCCTTGGGACGGTTGGTGGGGGGTGGGGGGGGGAGGGAGGGACCGACCGACCATCTGTTAGCCGGCTGTGTAGTGTGAGAGGGGGAGGGAGTTGAGTCCATTATTTGAATGGACATTAACTTGGCGACTGTATTTCTCTATTTCTCTTAAGTATTAATTGTGTGCATGTACCATCATAAAATTAAGATGTTATTTTTACTACAACATAGTTATTTGTCGTCAAAAATTGGAGTTTGGGGGTCGGGCTGGGTTCTATTGGAATTAATCCCATATGTTCTGTTATTCACTTAACGCGGTTTTCACTTAACGCGGGACCCTCTGGGTTCAATTGACCGCGTTAAGTGGGGTACAACTGTATATGTATATATATATATGTATATATATATATATATATATATATATATATATATATATATATATATATATATATATATATATATATATATATATATATATATATATATATATATATATATATACGAAAGATCCCCTGGAAAATATTAATAAGTTATCTAATTCCAAAATGAAGATGTTATTGAAAAAGAACCCCGATCTCATCAAACAGCTCTCTCAAATCAATCCCACTTTATCTTATATGTATGGATTGATCAAAACAAACAAGCTTAACAATCCATTACGTCCTATCGTGAGTTCTGTGGGTTCTGTTACTTACAAATTATCCAAGTGGCTGGTAAAGATGCTATTCCCTCTTACAGGCCAAATATCTAATTCACATATACACAATAACAGTGATTTAATTGATAGACTCAAGAAACACAATGAACCTTACGAATTAATAAGTTTTGATGTAAATTCGCTGTTCACTAGAGTACCTGTGAAAGACTTACTTTCATTTCTTAAAGATAAATTACAACTGTTAGATTTAACTATTGAACATGATACTTTCCTCAAATTGATAGAGTTATGCGTAACTGACAATGTGTTTAGAGCTAATGGGAAGTTCTACAAGCAAATATTTGGCATGAGCATGGGTAATTGTCTTTCTGCTCCTATAGCCTGTATTTATATGGAGTTTTTTTAGTCTAGATTACTACCCAATATAGTGGACTTTATTCCTCCATGGTATAGATATGTAGATGATGTTCTTTGTCTTTGGCCTAGAAACAGTGACCCATTGAAATTTTTAGACAAGCTTAATGATATTGTCCCAAGTATCACATTCAAAATTGAAAGAGAAATAAATGGATCCCTTCCATTCCTTGATATGCTTATCATGAGAAATGGCCAAAACTACAAATTTAAGGTATACAGAAAGCCCACACAGGTAGACAGTTTCATTCACTTTTTATCGAATCACCTGGAGTCTACCAAAATGTCAGTTTTTTCTGCTATGTTCTTAAGATGTCTGCGTATTTGTGACTGAATTTATTGACGATGAATTGAAACACATTCGTTCCATTGCACAGAAACTTGTTTATTGATCGTTGTTTTAAAAGGGCTAAAAAATCCTTTCATTCCTCTCAAACCAGGCAAATTCCTACACTTAGAATATTTTGACTCTGCCCTATCGTAATGAATTTGTCCCGTTAGTTCGGTCCCTCAAGCTTCTAAATATTAATGTTGTTTCAAGTATGGAGAAGCGCTTCTTGAGTAAATAGTTTAGGCCTGGTATTTTCAGAGTCATCCTGGTAGTTGTTTTCCATTGAGGTAGAGGTAGAATCGGAATCACTCAATTCTTGTTCAGTCGGTGGATTTGGGACTGGAAGTTTAGCACTGTGCGGTACTGGTCGGATTGCAGAAGCAATATTGGGGTACTGTACCTTGCCTCGTGTCTTGATTTTTATTCCCTTAATATTTGTGAGACAGAAGTAGCAGTCACTACTGTGGTCTTTAGGTTCACGCCATATCATTGGTACAGCAAACGACATTCCTGAACTTCGTTTACCACACTTCCACTCGCTCAGGTGGTTAACACAAGACTTACAGGCTACATGAGGTGCCCATTTCTTGTCTTGGTCACCCAAATGACATTTGAAGTAACTGTAGTGATGGGTTGTCAGACCACAGCTTACATCCAAGAAAGTCCAGACTTGACCCGACATTAGTGGGGTCAAAAGTGTAGGGTATCTCTTGCGGCTGACCAGGGGTTATAAATCAGCCAGACTCCCCCCCATGTGACACGGCCCCAACAAACATGTGAGAAGGCACCAGCCGACTCTCTCCCAATATACAATAACCTACATCGCAGAAGAAGTCCAGACTTGACCCGACATTAGGGAGGTCAAGTGTAGGGTAACTCTCACGGCTGACCAAGGTTTATAAATCAGCCAGGCTCCCCTTTCCATGTCACACGGCCAACAAACATGTAAGAAGGCACCAGCCGACTCTCTCCCAATATACACAATATCCTACACCGCAGAAGAAGTCCAGACCTGACCTCACATTAGCCAGGTCAAATGTAACCCTCGGAGCCCAACTCAAGGGGCCACAAATCAACCAGGGCCTCTCATGTCACACGGCCCCATCTGATGACTTTTCCAGAAGATACAACTTATAGTCTCTGAAAAAGTTCAGACCTGACCCTACATTAGCGAGGGCAAATGTAAGGGGACCCTTCGCCGCTCCCCCGATCAGCTCAACCTGACGGCTGGTCTTCCAATATATAGGACGTCCGAGCCCTCCCTCAGTGAGTGTGTCTTGTAACCAAGAAGGGCCAGCTACTACGTCCCCAGTCCCGCTCGAGAGAAGCCCGCCACTAAGTGTAACGAAGTCTCAGCTGGGTCCACCGACAGAGTGCTGTCAACTCAACGTGTAACAGTAAGTGCTGGCTGTGTAGACTGTAGAAGTGCAGTGATCCCGAACCTCCCCAACGATCGACTTAGTGAAGTGCCCATTCTAATTGTGAGGTTAGGTTATACGAGAATACCATAGTCTATCATAAATTGTGTACGAACCCCCCCATTAATCCCCCCTATTGAACTAGTAAAATAAAGCTGTAACACGCATTGGTGTTTTATATACTACACTTGTACTGTGCCTGTGTTAATATACAGTGTTGACATCACGCCCTCGAGACACGCTACCATTTCCTCTCGCTATAAAACTCTACTACTATAACCTCCTGGCTTACCTCTTCATGTGAGATTTTGTCTCATTACATAACTTTTGTAGTTCAGTTGAACAGCTTTTGTGATTGGTTTCTTGAGGGTACCAGGAGTGAAGGCACCACATATGTAGCAAAAACTGTCAGCACCGTTCACACACTTGTGACGTTCCATGTTTTGTTAATTTCAGAGTAATTACAAATCATGCAGGTGTAATATCATGAATCAGCAAACTGAAACAAACAAAAAAGCACAAATCAGGACAATATAATTGCCTAAGTGGAGCCAATGAGCATATAAATTACTGTATGAATAGCATGGTACACTAAATATATAGATATGCTGGTTCTGGAAAACTGAGCCTGATACAGCTATACGAATGTCATAATTGAGTTCAGCACATACAATTACACTAGAATCAGACTGTTTTGATCCAGAACCATGAGAATTTTTTTTTTATGTTGACCAGTGTAAGCAATAGCCCAAGTTTGAATGTAAATGGAAGTGTTTATTGTATTCCATGTAGCAAATGTAATTGTAATTATGTAGGACAGACAGGAAAAACACTGCAGCTCAGAATCAAACAACATAAGTACAATATCAGAACAGCATCTGAAAGCAGTGCCTTGTTCGTTCATGTTAGGAATAATAATCATCCCACTGCTTGGGAAAAAAGCTTAGAAGTATTTAAATCATCTTGTGTCACAGAGATTTCTGGTTGAAGCTAGTTTGATTAAGGAATTAATATCAATAAACCTCAGTGATCGTCAGTTCAAAACTGGTGTGTTACATAAATTTATTTATCAGTGGCCCAAGGTCAAAAATGCTTTGAAAACCTTTGATCTAGATCAGGGGTCACCAAACTACTGCCCACGGGCCGGATCCCAAGTCCTTCCCCGGCTCGTGGTAGCTCCGCCTACGCTCTGACGTTACCAGAGCTTTCGTTCTGGCTTGCAAGTATTGAACAGAATGATTATGCGGCCTGCGCTCGTCATTCTTTCAGTTATCCGGCCCACTGTGAAAAAAGTTTGGTGACCCCTGATCTAGATGTATGATAGTTATTTAGTGGGCTACTTATTTTTTACCTGACTAGTCACGTCACCCCCCTTGTCTTAAGCTCCTCTACGTGTGAGTTGTGTGGGGATTAGTGGATGACATCATTATGACCTGACCTCATGTTTTATAAGGTCACCCTGTATATTTAAGCCTCTCTGTCCATGTAATCCAGTTGCCTCTGAAGATGTTTTGAATAAAGACGAAAGCTAAGGAGCTCCATTGTTTCCCTTTCCCCGTGTGATTTTATCAAGCTTTATCTTATCCACGTTTTCATTGTGGATCTACATGAAATATATATATATATATATATATATATATATATATATATATATATATATATATATATATATATAAATTAGAGTGGAATTTAAAAAACTAAGTATAATGGGGAGCAGTACAACCTGGGTTGTGCAGTAATAAGGTTGAACAAGAGGATAGAGCGTTCAGGATTATGTCTAGTTGGCAATTATGTTTATTGCAATGGTAATTACTTATTTAGTTACATGATAATTTCCAATAAAACGGATTTGGTGGTACAATAAAAGCAGGTACTGTAAATATAGTAAGTGTTACAAGAAATATTAATACTTCGACAATAGACTTGGTCACATAAGGCAGCCAGGCGGTAGTACCTCCCTGTTGATAGCTGCCTACAAGGTGTAACGTAATAAAATAAGACACATCTACGTCCCTATAGCCAAAATATCGTTAAATACGTCCATAAAAACACTTAAAACTATTTAACATATTATGAATCGAACTTAACAAGAATTTAGCTACAATTACCACATACCATAGAGGAAACGTGGAGTAAAATGTAGAGGTCAGGGCGGCTCACTGCCTTGTGTGTCTCCTGGCAACGTCATCGACCCTCCTCCC